GTCTCACCCTTCTCACCATGGTAAATGATGCTATAATTGGTAATAATTTGATTAGCTCCTGGTTTGGAATGGTATATTCCTGGTTTGGAGATAGAACTGTGCAGCCGGGATGGTTGTTCAGAATGGTTGGGCCTATGCAACAGGGTATGTTGTATAGCGTTGGATTAATATTGTTTAATTACTTAACTGTTTTATTAAATTCTCAAATGTTTGCTAAATGCTGCTTTTGCAAATGAAACCCCACTATGCCATCCTTTGTTATCCTGTGCACTTGCATATTTGCTGCGTGGCTTGCTGAGTATGTCATATACTCACCTTGCAATCATTCATCAGAGGAAGAGTTCTACAGTGAAGCTGATGGTGTGGAGGATTAGGTGTAGCCTTGGTCAAGCTGCCTGTGGAGTGGAGCCGTCTGCGCCGTTTATCTTATTTTTTTCCGCTGCTTAGATCTTTATTGATTGAGAGGAACTATCTACCTCTGTAATGATATTTTATATGCTTAATAGTTTGAGTAATAATTGTACTCTATTATCAATTTGTTATTGTGTGCCTCGGCTGATTCCTGGACGAGGGTTCACACACATGTAAGCGTTTGGAATTTTGGATAGAAATTCCGGGCGTGACACCTGGTGCGCCAACTGTCGAAACAAGATTTCGGCAATACTAAAAGGGGTAGCTATCAAGCTAGAAAAGTGGATAGGTTTGGAGACAAGGAATTTTATACAGGTTCAGGCCTTCTTATTCAAGAAGTAATACCCTACTCCTGTCCGGGGATGATTCCGCCGAGTAGATTATTGATTGTATGATCTAGGGAAAAAAATCGTCCCGAGAGGAACCCGGACCCCTCCTTATATAGGGGAAGGGATCCATATTACAAAATACAGTCCATATCCCTAACGGAATATGCGATTACAGGTAAAATACAATCGTAACCGACTAAGATCTCGGGTATTTCTTTGACATACAAGTTAGAAACTAACCCGAGTCCTCGTAAAGATATTCTATCTATATTTGGTACCGTATATCCGACTAAATTATAACTGTCATATAGATATGGGGTATCCATAATCTCCACAGCTGACATATGGGCCCGACCCTCATTGGGACATACAAGTCTGGGATAAGTTCAGAGGAGATCTATGATGACGTCCGGGATAAATTTCTGAATATAAATATGCATTTCGAGAGTTTTGGTATGTAGACAACATAGGTGTACAAATTTAGCGCCTATGCAATTTACTCTAATAAAAAGTGAACCTCCCGTTTTTTATTTTAGTGTATATATAAATATAGATATAGACACCATTTATACATACAAAATATATAGTTTTTATATATGCTTCTAGGGATAAACTTTTGAACATATGCTTGTCCAAGTTCATCCTTGAAAATGATTTTTTTATGGGAGCATACGATTAAATTTCTAGACGCTTTTATGAAGATGGCTGAGGCTGCCTGCGAAATACAAATTCAAAGAGATAATGTGCTTATGAAATAGGTCTATTTCCACAAATGGTTTTCCTATGAAATTGTTTGTGAAGTCACTTTTTTTATTGAAGAAATTCACGATATTGATGACAACTTCCACATGAAAACTGGAGCTCCTGAGATATACAACATTTTAGTTAAATTTTCTTTTTCATTTCAGATCGTTTTGGGGCCAAATATCGATCATACTTTTTAAGATATATTTTTAAAAAGGGTAATATGTAGAGGAAGTTTTTCAAGTGCCACCTGTAAAAACCGATTAGCGAACGGAGAAAACAGCCTATATATACTACCTAATTAATTAGTGTAGGCCTAAATATTCATCAAAAGCTCTTGGATCTTTTTTATAAACCATATTTTTTCATTTTTCACAACACCTCGAATGGAGACATGCTCTACTTAAAGTTGTAGAGCTCAACGAGATTACTTTTCGTTGGTTACTTTTTCAGACAACCTTGGATAGAGAACCTTTTAGTTGATTACTTTTCTCATTTGATGATATTTCAAGTACCAAATATGTATTACAAGTAGTTTTTATAGAGGTCAAGTTAAAAACTTCATAATATGCTTTATAGTCATGAAAGTTTTGACAGGTAAGATGTCAAGGGGAGCATATGCATGGAATGAGAGCTCTTGGGTTCAAATTATATATTCCGCACGTGAATATTTTACACGAAAAATTGCGTGACTTATAAGTTGAGACACACGGCCGTGTATAGATACATAGTAAAATGTGGAATATTTTGATTTTTTTGGCGCCTACATAAATAAAAACACTGCAAATTTTATCATAGGCACCTATATATGAAAATCACTGATCTGTACAGGGCCTAAATCACATGTGGTTCACTGCATTTCGGTTATCAGTCATCTAAAAAAATAATTTCCGTAGTACTACCTTTAGTCCCTGATGCTATTTTGCATGTTTCTAAATTAATTGATTTATAGGTACTTAGTGCACCTGCAATACATGCATTTCTTTGTTTGCTCTTTAATTCAAAAGTTCAATAGCGCATGAATTCTCTTTCCATATATAGAAGCAACTCGAGATGCCCTAACTACTCCTCTAGACTAATAAATGAAAGCTTCGAAAACTTTTGTAGTGAGAAAAAAAATTACGATGTCCCTTGTTAATAGGAAGTAGTATTAGTGGCTGGGTGGATTAAGAGGATTGAAGAGATAAAACTCTTAATTGCTGAACGGAGGATAGGGGAGAAGAAAAAATGTTAAGGGGATTTATTTTGAGACAAAGTTTAAACGTTAGTAATTGATTTATTTTCACTGGTGGAGAAACCATCTTTACTCCCGGTTCCTGGTTTTCCAACCGGGAGTAAGGATCCGGGACTAAAGATGTACATCTTTAATTCCGGTTGAAATAATTGGGACTAAAGATGTATCTTTAGTCCCGGTTGATGTTACCAACCGGAACTAAAGAGACAATAGCGGCAGTACTAGATGTTCCCCTTTTCTTTTTCTTTTTCCCTTTTTATTTTCTCCCGAATCAAGTAGGCAAATCCCCAAATCAAAATAACATCCCAGATTAACATCACCAAACCCACATCACAAATCATAAAGTTACTTATACACACAAATCAAATACATCACAATATCCTAAGAAATTAGTCAAATACATCACAGATCTAAACAATAAATCACAAATTTGTAACTTCTCAGTCAAATACATCTTAGTGAATCATCACAAATTTTAAAAAAAAAACCAATGCCGCCGCTCACCACGACCGCCGAGCGCAGCCCCGCCGGCCGCCGGCCGCGGCCCCTCCGCCCGCCCCGGCCTCCGCCGCCCGCCGCCGCGCGCGACGCCGCGGCCCCGCCGCCCGCCGCCGGCCGCGGCCCTGCCGGCCTCCGCCAGGCGCCGCCCCGCCGCCCGCCACGGCTACCGCCGCTCACCGCCACGCGCGGCGCCGCCAGCCGCCGCCGCGCGTGGCCCTGCCCCCCGTCGGCCGGCCGGATGGGAAGGGGAGGAGGGGGAGGAGGAAGGGGAGAAGGGGAGGAGAGGAGGAAGGGGAGGAGTTGGAGGAGAGGGGATGAGGAAGAGAGTTAGATCTGAGGAGAGAGGATAAGTGTGGAGGAGAGGATAAGGGATAGGGATTATATACAACGTGTTTAATTTTAGTCCCGGTTGTTAGTACCAACCGGGACTAAAGATCATCTTTATCTTTAGTCCCGGTTGGTAGTACCAACCGTGACTAAAGTGGTGATCTTTAGTCCCGGTTATTGACACCAACCGGGACTAAAGATCCTCGACCCCCTGACATACATCTGACAAGGGATAAACCAGGACTAAAGATCGTCTTTAGTCCTGGTTGGTAGATCAAAATTTTTATAACCGGGACTAAAAACAATCTTTAGTCCCGATTCTTTTTGGATCCGGGACTATTGTGAATTTTGCCGGACCGACGAAAGATGGTTTTTCCACCCGTGTTTCTGACGGTGGCAGTGGCTAAGTTAGCTGTCATCTGTCATGGCCGCACAAGATTTTTGGAAACCGATCAATTAATGCCAATGTCATGTTGATAAGTCTATCTTTAATTTGGTACTCTCCGTTTTCTCTACTACTACTCCCTTCATCCACTAATATAAGAGATTTTGACTTTCTCTTACACTGTTTGACCATTTATCTTATTCAAAAAATTTTGGATTATTATTTATTTCATTTATTTGTGACTTACTTTATTATTCAAAGTATTTTAAGCATAACTTTTCGTTTTTTATATTTGCATAAACTTTTCGAATAAGACGAATGGTCAAACAGTGTAAACAAAAAAGTTAAAATCCCTTATATTATGGGACTGTATTTATTGGTCCATTCCCGTGTCAGTTGATGTAGGCAGTATGGCAGCCCCAGCAAGCCACATGGTGCAGTTGATGTTGGGAACTCACTAGAAAGAACACAGCCAAAATGTCCTAACTACTCCCTCTGTCCATAATAAATCATAGCTAGTCTTGTATCCGATGAAAACTCTAGTGGTAAAAAAAAATATTACCCTGCCCATTGTTAATAAGAAGTAGTATTGGTGGGTGAGTAGCTTTGAAGAGATAAAACAGTTAATTGCTGAATTGAGGATAGTTGAGAGGATAAAAAATGTAAAAGGGATTTATTTTGAGACTAACTTTAAACTATAGTAGTAATTGATTAATTTTGTGACAGAGGTGGTCACTATATGGCTGAGTTTGGTAATCTAGGTTTCTCAACTACTACTCCCTCGTTTCCTAAATAGCTAAATGGTGTGTTCTTTTGCAAAAAAAAAAAGAATTTTATATGAAAGTTGTTTGAAAAAATCGTACTAATTTTTTTTTTCAAGTTTTTCAAGCTAATACTTAATTAATCATATGCTAACGATTGCTCTATTTTACGTGCACAGGGGATTAGTTCCTAACCACATTTTCCAAACACAGCCTAATTAAGCTAGCTGTGTCATCCGACATTTGACATGGGTGCATAAGATTTTCAGAAACCGATCAATGCCAATGTCAAGTTGATAAGTCTATCTTCAGTATCTTGTTTGGTACTCTCCATCGTCTCCTCTATATTTATTGGTCCATTCCCTTGCCAGTTGATGCAGGCAGAATGGCAGCCCCCAGCAAGCCACAACATGGCGCCATTGGCCCCGTGCCGTTCAAGGACGTCATCGGAGACGCAATGGCACAGCGATCCTCACCGGAGGAGGAGTATGCCGGCGTCGTGTCCAGCCTCCCGAGCTATCCCAAGCTGCGCCTGCGGCACTACCAGGGCATGTGGCTGATGGAGTACACCCTTCCAGGGATCATGGCCATCCAGCGGAGCTTCGTGCCGCGCCGCCATGGCGACGTCGTCCTCGCGAGCCCCGGTAAGTGCGGCACCACCTGGCTCAAGGCGCTCGCCTTCGCCGTCTTGGCGCGCGGCGCCTACTCCCCTGCCAGTGACCGGCATCCGCTCCTCCGTCTTAACCCGCACGACTGCGTCCCGTTCATGGAGGGGGCGATCTCTGAAGGATGGGGTGGTAAGATTGATGAGCTGCCGTCGCCGAGGCTCATGTCCACCCACATGCAGCACGCTGCTCTACCCAAGTCCATTGCAGATGAACCTGGCTGCAAGGTTGTTTATATTTGCAGGTAAATTTCTTATATCTAGTTGGTACCCTCTTTCAGAATATTTCTCTTATATCTGGTTCTTTTGTATCGATCTGGGCATGCTTCTAGCCAGTTCAACATGGATGATTGATGACCGGCATAGTGCAAACAACAATGACGGAGACAGAGGGGAGGCGATAGGGGCTATGCCTTCCCATGTCATCAAAATTTTACACTAAATTTACTTTAGCTTTAGCAAATTTTCAAAAAAAAAAAAATAACGCTATTGGCCCGATCAAACATGCCCTTTTAGCATTTCAACATTCAAGCTTCGCTGCTGGCAAACAATTTTTTATTGGATGATATATCAGTACTGATACCAGGCACCAGATTATCATTGACAATTCGAACCTCTGTCTCATGATTCTCATATTTTTCGTTGGGTTTTACTCTTCTAAAATTGCTAACAAATTAGCAAATTGCAGGGAGCCGAAGGATATCCTGGTCTCAGCCTGGCACTTCTTCAGAATTATAGAGCCTGATCTTTCATTTCAAGAAGTGTTCGAGGCTGCCTGCGATGGCAAGTTCTTGACCGGCGCTATCTGGGATCACATTATTGGCTACTGGAATGCTTGCAAGGCGAACCCAGAGAAGGTCCTGTTTCTGGTCTATGAGGACCTTCTGCGAGATCCGGCAAACATCGTCAGGAAGCTCGCCGACTTTCTTGGCCAGCCGTTCTCATCGACCGAGGAAGAAGCTGGACTGGTGACAGATATTGTGAGGCTGTGCAGCTTCGAGAACCTGAAGAGCTTGGAGGTGAATAAGATGGGAGAGGCATCGTTCGCCTTCCCGAATGCGTCATACTTCCGGAAAGGGAAGGCCGGAGACTGGAAAATCCACATGACGCCGGAAATGGTGGAGTGTTTTGACACCATCGTCAAGGAGAAGATGCATGGATCTGGGCTTGTTTTTGCTTGATGCATGTGGTGGACAAGAAATTACTAAATTATTCAACTCTTTTAATACTTTTTTTTAAAAAAACAAGATCTTTCAATAAATAATTTTAAAGGGTAGTCCAAAATGAAAAAATAGTAATAAAATGTAACCTAAAGTGAAATTTACTCAAAATAAACTAATCATCAAGCTCAAGAGGTTGCTCGCATTGCTTTGGCTGAATCACATTATTTTACCAATGTGACAAGATTGTACAACTTCTTCTTGGAGACTTAGATCATCTTTTATTGTTCTGTTCTGAACAGAAATAGACCTAGAGCTGACATGAATGATATTTTTCCTTTTAATGAGGTCATTAGCTCTTTGGGTTTTTTGAACTTCCAATTAAAGGTATGGCTTACACCTGAAGTTACATGCAACATCAACCTTTGTTGTATCTATTGAACTCTCCCATGAATTGGACTCTTTCCTACCCTAACACAATGGTAAAGCCATTGTCAAGAATAGTTTTTCGGATCATATCCCTTGTGTGGTGCATATTGTGATAAATATACCTAAAGCACATACCTTTAGATTTGAGAGTTACTGGGTGGAGCATGAGGGCCTTTTTGACTTGGTGCAAACAATTTGGGATAATCATGGCAGTCCCCTTGATCCTGCTAGGAATATTACTGCTAAGCTTAAGGCATTGAGAAAAGACCTTAAAAAATAGAGCAAAAATCTTTCAAGGTTGCAAGAATTGATCAAGAATTGTAATGCAACCATTCATTTTATAGACAGTATAGAAGAGCTCGGAGATCTTACTGTCTTGGGGTGAAAATACATAGTCTTTATCAGAAGCAAACTGATGACCTACTTGATGTATAAGCAAACATATTGGCAGAAAATATGTACTATTAGGTGGGCAAAATTTGGTGGGGAGAATACTAAATTCTTTCATGCTATGGCTACTGAATCCTTTAGGAGGAATTCTATAACATCTTTGATTTATTGCGCATAAGGACATATTTTTTCTTTGTTGATGGCATAGCTTAAGAAACCTCACACACTTCTTACATATTTTTCATCAATTGCGGCAACAATTCTAGGATTGATATATGTCTTGAAATACTCAATTGCATTTATCTCATCAATAATATTTGCTCGACACATGGAAGAACACAACTTGCCATAATAAGCTTGAGTAGATTTACTACCTTGCTTGACCATGCTTCAAATGGCGAAGTGAAATTAGCGCATACTCTCTTGGGATAAATTCTTTTCTCATCACTTTCTACAAATCTTCCTAAGACTTGGTAAAGCACTTATGAGGAAATCGTTTCCACCAAGTACATGCATATTTTTGAAATTCAATAGTAGCTTGTTGCAACTACTCTTCACAAAAGCATTGGTAGTCATGTTCAATCTCCATTTGATTTACCCATTCAAGATACACCTCGAGATCAGTTCTTTTTTATAAAATGTGTGATCAGTGTACCTTCTTTCTGCCATTGTTAGTACAGCAAGTAGCAAAGTAGATGTGAAAACTCTCACATCCTCACCCTCTCTGACCAATCAAAGCTTTTATGTATTCCCTATGGGTTACAAAATTAATATGTGAGCCGGTAATTGTGTGATGTGGTTAAGCAAAGACAATATACCCAAATTAACGTAAATGGCGATTTCTTTATGGAGCTTCGTGGGATAAACATACACTAAGAAATTTGAAATATAGTTGTTGTAAAGATAGATAACAATTTAAAGTAGAAGTTTATTGCCTAGTATTGATCCAAAATGATTGGAACAGACACAACAAACGCACGCACAAAGAAATATTGAGTTTTTGTTGTACGGTTTATTCTCAGACCATAAAAAATGATGTGAACTAGCCGCCAACCCATGCATTGCATGGGCTATTACTATTGATTTTGTGGATTTTTTTGTGCTGAATATGTTGGTAATGAGAATCCATGATAGGTACAACTCCCTATTTATTAATGCTAAATTTATATCTATATTATAGCGGATTATGAAGTAGAGTGAAAGAAGAGTTCGTGTAGGTTACAATTTGTTAATTATTAATTTTTAATTTCGAAATTAAATTAACGAAGAGCCATATTGAGAAACCAAGATAGATATATAGAACTCCATATTTCACACCAGTAACCAAAACTTATATGGCATGTTTAATTATTTAACAGGAACTCTTAGTTTGAAATTATTTGATTCTTCACACCTTTTAATTGATCGATCTGCATAAAGTGGGTAGATGGTCGATTATTTTGGAAGACGGTTCTATGTATGTATTTTCACACATGCTATTAAAATTTCATATATTTGTAAAGTTAACATTAGTACTAATTTTAATGCAAGTTATATATGAGAAATTATCATTTGGATACGTATAGTATTCATATTCAAATGAACTTCTGAAATTAATAGTTACAAAATATGTTTTTATAGTTCAAATGAATTAATAAATGCAACTTTATTCATACTTCATGGTTCAGTAATTTGAAAATTTAGTAATTCTGAGAGTTAAATTTTTATGAGAAGCTAAGGTTACAATATAATAATAGCTCTGATCATGGGTGTAGCTCAAAAGCAAGATAAAGAAAACCTAAGGGCATGAATTAAACCAAACTAATAGTAAGTGCTTGTGAACTACACACACAACCAACTAATGATGCCTTCGCTTGAAATTTATTAGTTAAGATTGCAAAGGAAAATGCATATTTAAATTAAGACAAAAGGAAGAAAAGCACCTAACCTGGTTTGCTCACAAAATTGGTAAATTAATCACAACTATTACTCCTGTTTTGCATCCTTCATTCACCCGCCTATGACCATATTTTTAAAGAAATCTTCCACGATCACCATGTCATTGATCTATGCTAATATGCTTTCTAGATGGCCATGGCTTTGTTGCACGGGTTCTGCAGCAGAACTGCATACATGATGCAAGCATATGCCTGTCATTAGAAGCGTCACTTAAATTATAGATGGTGGAATCTGGAATGATTAACGAAACTATACTTCACTGTGCCGGCGTGTGGCCAGGAGATTCGAACCGGCGATCACGAAGGAGATGTGTTCATCTCAGCGGCCGCTCGCTCGGGAAGGCGGTGTTTCTGCAGCAGAAACTACTACTGCAAGAATCCGCCGAGTTTGATGCCCGCGATCTAATCATCGTCAGGAAGATGCATCGTCCATGAAGTATCGATTTTGTTGATCAACATGGCAACATCTTAACGGCCGCGTGTGCATGATCATGATGAAAAGCGACTGGAAACAATTGAAACGACCGTGTAAGTACGTAGGAAGTTAGAGATGGTGAGATACGATATGGATTGGTCAATACACTTGTATATCAAATGGGCTTTTGGAACACGTATGTAATAAATTCGTTCTAAACGAAAGCCCATGTTAAATACGCGTTATAATATATGGTCATGATATTACCATCGGGTGGATTAATGGTCAGATCTTTCTAATTAACGTGAGAGCTTCTAAAAAGTGCCAAATTAGTATAGGAATAGATTGCTGGTATTAAAGTCTCAAGGTGGAGGTTGGAAAAATAACTTGTTAAAAACGTAACAAACCACAGCTACATTCACTTGCCTCCAATGAAGGGTTGATATCATACACTGTCGACGTTTGATGTCGCAATTCTGATATTTGCATAGTATGGGGATCGTCGGTGCTAGGATATACGCGAGACTGAGGTAAAAGAGACGGAGACGAGAATTTTTATACAGGTTCGGGCCCCTGAATTGTCAGGTAATAGCCCTACATCCTGTTGGCCAAAGCCGGTCGTTGCTCTTATTCACCATAATCATATAAGTACAATATTTGAGGTAGCCTATCTAACTGTTGTCGACATGGCAGTCTGACGATCTGACTCGTAGTCGACAACAGGGTAGCCTTCCTCCTCGAATCCGTGCCCGGCGAGATCAGAGATAGCGGTTTCGTCTCTCCTGACAGTATCCAGAGACACCGTAGGGTACTAGCCATGCTTATCCCTGAAGTCGATATCCGGCGGCGTGTCTTGGCGTATGTAGGCTTCTATATTGATCTTCTGTCTTGATCTATTGTTCCGTAGATTGTGGCGGTGTTGATTGAGGTGGTCCCCCTCTCTCTTCCTTAGGGGTCTTGTATTTATACCCATAGGTGTCCCCTTGTCCAAGTAGAACTAGGGAAATCAATATGGATACAATCCGAGTAGTCCTTGTCGTTTCCATGTAGAACTCTAGTTGTCTTTCCTTATCCGGAACTCCCTCGACGTCAGTTTCCGTATAAGACATGGTATGTGGTGGATCCTGCCGAGATTTAGTCAACTACTATTAGGTATGTGGTATCCATAACCCTGACAGTAGCCCCCGACTTCGATGCAAATGAACGAGTTCATATTCTCAACCGCAGACTTTGGAGGAACTGTTATCGAGCTTACGTGACCGTTCTCGGTGAGTTTAGAGATAATGTTAGACTTCCTTTATCAGCCTCGTGCGGACACCTAAAGGGTTAGTCTGAGTCAATCTCCGACGTCAACCAAGAAAGTACAGAGCGTACGACTAAGTCTCCCGTCTTGCTGTAATCGAGAATTTGGATTGAAGTCAAGAAATTTATCTCGGCGGGTACACCATCTCTCCATTCCGTATTCCTTGTCGAGATCCACCAACCGTTCTCGAGTGATCGAGAAGGCACAGAATTTGCGACGGAGCTTTGTCGACATTTGTCATACTCGCCTTAGTCGATCTTGGTGTACAACCATTGAGACATGGAGCCTTCGTCAATGTCGAATAGAATTTTCCAGTGTTTTGTATATGAGCGTCTTCTCTCTTACCGACTCCGACCAGTCAGTTTGTAGAGTCATACACTCTCCCTAGCCCCCAGCCTTGTCGTCGGAGAATCGTTCTCGGATGATAAGGCTCTTGGACCTTTGACCTGCCTCAGTTGAATAAGCACTGATCCTAGCTCCCAGCCGTGAAGTTGGAAAACTCAATTTCCGATTACACGGTTTGGTTAATACGCACGGCGAGAACTCTTACACGACCAGATCTTACATGGTCTTTTGTTTCTACAGGATCCGACAAGGCCTTATCGGCTCTGGGCGTCCCCAGCCGAAGTTCCCTTAGGTTCCTCGGAGGCCTTGTCAAGACGGCGTAAAGGGACAGTAGGATAGGTTTCAACGCTAGGTGTTATCGTGGCAAGGGATCTCTGGGTAAAACCCTTGGTGATATTGTGTATCTGATGTCAACTTTGTTGGAGTAGAGGACCAGGTGGTAGTCGCAACTCGACCACTAGAAGTAGAAATAGTGGGAGAATCGCTACACCGCTGGTCGAGAACCAGATGTAGTCTAAACTCGACCACTAGAAGTAGAAATAGTGGGAGAATCGCTACACCGCTGGTCGAGAACCAGATGTAGTCTAAACTCGACCACTAGAAGTAAATGTACGAGAGATCGCTACGATTGACTGGTTGAGAACCAGTGAGTAGGTGTCTCTCGGTCATTTGGAGTCATGGTACGAGGACCGCAACGCTGCCGGTCGAAGACTAGTCGTAGCTGTTTCTCAACCATCTGAAGTCATGGTGCGAGGACCGCTGCATTATTGCTGTAGTCGTACCTCGACCATCTGAAGTTAAGGTGCGAGAGATTGCTACGTTTTACTAGTTCGAGAACTAGCGAGTGAGTAGAATTATCTCTCGAACACCAATGGAAGTTGCGGTGCAAGAGATTGCTATGTACTGGTTCGAGGACCAGCGAGCGAGTAGAATTATCTCTCGAACACCAATGGAAGTTGCGGTGTGAGAGATTGCTACGTACTAGTTCGAGAACGAGCGAGCGAGTAAAATTATCTCTCGAATACCAATGGAGGTTGCAGTGCGAGAGATTGCTACGTACTGGTTCGAGGACCAGCGAGCGAGTAGAATTATCTCTCAAACACCAATGGAGGTTGCGGTGCGAGAGATTGCTATGTATTGGTTCGAGAACCAGCGAGCGAGTAGAATTATGTCTCGAAAACCAATGGACGTTTGCGGTGCGAGAGATTGCTACGTACTGGTTCGAGGACCAGCGAACGTGTAGAGTTATATCTCGAACACCAATGGAGGTTGCGGTGCGAGAGATTGCTACGCACTGGTTCGAGGACCAGCGAACGTGTAGAGTTATCTCTCGAACACTAATGAAAGTTGCGGTGAGAGAGATTGCTACGTACTGGTTCGAGGACCAGCGAACGTGTAGAGTTATCTCTCCAACACCAATGGAAGTGCTAGAGTTGGTTTATTATGTGCGTCTCATATAGCCAGCATGACTCACACACCCAACTTGTAGCATATCCGGATGTCCGTTCGCAATCATGTCTGGTGATCAAGCCGACGGCGTTCGCGAGGAATTATCCGTTAACAACCTTTCCTCGAGTAGTCCAGGCATGACCGGTGCTATGAGATAGGTCGTTGCTCTTCGTTGGTGGGTTGGGGGCGCGACGACTTTGCATTTGTCGAGATCGTTCTCGATAATACGGTGTACTTGACCACAACCTACTCGAGTGCTCAGTTGTTCCTGAAAAATATCTTTGTACATATATGCCGGATGTATCTACAAAATTAGTAGATCAATTTAAAAAATCAATCTCACTAATTACCTCGGATGACGTGCATGTGTCACGTCGGGATGTCCTCGGTCGGTCATCGTATGTATCGGTGCTCTGAGTGTTGGCCTCCACGTGCACAGCCGTGCATACAGCACTTGTGTGCATGTGCGTGCTGTACATGCAGGGCTCGTATTCCTCTGAGACTTGTCCAAATCCAACCGAGAGATATTGAGGCATCAGCCGACGAGATGGCAATCGGACTCGATTTGAAGACAAGGCTATGCCGATTGATTTGTTGATGATGATTTCGATCTCGTCGGAAGATATACTCCGGTCGGGTTAGATCTCTCCACAGCTGAAGTCGTCGAGTAGCTTGTTGTCGAATAATCCATCTCTTGAACCCATCTCGTCGAAATCCTGAAGCACCAAAGTTCCCCTACCTGGCGCGCCACTGTCGACGTTTGATGTCGCAATTCTGGTATTTGCATAGTATGGGGATCGTCGGTGCTAGGATATACGCGAGACTGAGGTAAAAGAGACGGAGACGAGGATTTTTATACAGGTTCAGGCCCCTGAATTGTCAGGTAATAGCCCTACATCCTGTTGGCCGGAGCCGGTCGTTGCTCTTATTCACCATAATCACATAAGTACAATATTTGGGGTAGTCTATCTAACTGTTGTCGACATGGCAGGCTGACGATCTGACTCGTAGTCGATAACAGGGTAGTATTCCTCCTCGAATCCGTGCCCGGCGAGATCAGAGATAGCGGTTTCGTCTCTCCTGACAGTATCCGGAGACACCGTAGGGTACTAGCCGTGCTTATCCCTGAAGTCGATATCCGGCGGCGTGTCTTGGCGTATGTAGGCTTCTATGTTGATCTTCTGTCTTGATCTATTGTTCCGTAGATTGTGGCGGTGTTGATTGAGGTGGTCCCCCTCTCTCTTCCTAGGGGGTCTTGTATTTATACCCATAGGTGTCTCCTTGTCCAAGTAGAACTAGGGAAATCAATATGGATACAATCCGAGTAGTCCTTGTCATTTTCATGTAGAACTCTAGTTGTCTTTCCTTATCCGGAACTCCCTCGAGGTCAGTTTCCGTATAAAACATGGTATGTGGTGGATCCTGCCGAGATTTAGTCAACTACTATTAGGTATGTGGTATCCATAACCCTGACATACACGATCTGAAGGACTACCACATAATCACAAACATAACCTCAGCAGACACATTCAAATATAACTATAATAAATTAAAACAAAACCTTATAAAACACATTCAAATATAACTATAATAAATTAAGTGGCACGCTCCTACGACGCTATCCCAACCTCAAGCAAAACAGAAATCACCTCTCCCATCTATAAACAACATTGTTACTTCAGTAATTATTAAGTTTAACACTGAAAACGAATACATTTTAGGAAACTACAGAATAATACCTACAACTTTCGTGTAGAAACCATATTTTTATTCTGTCATTTATATGGCCTAAAGCGCACATCAAAACAAGCTTCAGAATCTGCCCAAGATTTCAGATTGTCCACACTAAAGCAACCATATCTGGAGTTCTACTCTCCTAATCAAAATGTACTTTACCAATATGGAAAGATAAGGAAAACCTCTACAACTTCCTTGTTATAAGCTTTCGCAGCAAAAATCGTTTTGATCCTCTAATTGGTGAAATACAGAGAGACAGAAAATCTGACAGCGCCCCGAACTAACGATCCAAAACACAGCACCTAGAACCCATCCTCTAACCCTCCCAAAACGATGAACTAAAACCCTAAAATAACCTACAACCTCTGCTACAGGAGAGGAATGCCTCACCTAGGGTGTGCTTGGAGAACTTGTGAGAATATGATGGGAAAACCAACCCACCACTCCTCCTGCTCCTCTCCTCTTCCTCGACGATCCATTTTTCCAATCAGATTCTTGATTAGGGCTATGGTTCTAGGAGATCCATGGAGTAGGGTTAACAGGGGAGAAAAGAATACATGAGTTCCATGGGTGCCAAGAGAAAGGTGTGGCGGCGTCGAGTGGGAAGGTGGGAGTCGCCCCTCCCTAGGGTACTAGTTAGGGGAGGTGGGCTGCACTGGTAGGACTTGCCCAATTTGATTCGGCCCAATTTCAATCATGATATTTTTATTTTAATTTCAGGGTGTTACAAAATAGGACTCATAACATAAGAAACCCACCAAACTAGGGAAACAACATCCCCATACAACTGTAAACCCTAATCTTTTCAAACTTGAACTCCAATCTAAATTTGGCTTCTCTTTCCATACGCATACAACACCACGTGTATGTCATATGAAAACCTTCACCTACACGTGCATTGTTTTCTAGCCTAAGCATCCCACGTATATCCTTGACCATCTGGACCTCAACTTCTCCCAAGTCTAGTCCCGATCCATCACTAGCTATACTCCCATGGCCTCAAGCAACACCTGCGCACGAACAACTAAAAAACTCCATATCCGTATACAAGTCCGCACCGACTTGACTCATATCAGCACACATAGTATCACATATGAATAAAAACAATCTAGTAGTCATAAACATGAAGCAATCTAGAAATTCCACGAAAACAACCCGAAACCGATTCCCTCCTGGAGTCTGCTGGTCAGACCGTCATGCTACCCGGTTAGACCGCTCGGACACCTCCGGTCTGATCGGCGCCCACTGCTCGGTCTGACCGGCTCCAAGTGCCAACATTCTGTTCACCATATTTTCCGAAAGACTTACCTTTGACAAATGTTCATTATATAGATTAAATCAACATATTGATTTCACATGTATTTATATTGATTTCATATGTATTTATGTATATAGCGTATGGCAGGTGTAAGGGTGCTGACAGAAAGAAAAATAATGGGATTTTTAAATTGATTCAGTCCAATAACCCTATACATTCTATTTGATTCTCACGAGTAGAGGTCACAACGCTAATCTAGCCTATAACTTTGTCGGCGAGAGCTCTAGGCCCGCCGAGTTGATGACAGAAAGAAATGTTTCCTTATTGATTGGGCATACAGCTGCAGATTTACCACAAAGAATCCTCTCATGTTTCACAAATAGTACTGCCATGACGGAATTAATATCATACTAAAATTCACCCAGGTTTGCCATTTGTTTTTTTGACTGGGTTGTGTTTTTTTCAACAAAAGATGAGGCAGAGGCATGTGAAGCATGTTAGATCACGTGGTCATGTGCGAGACTCGAGCTCTGTAGTCAGTTAATTAAGAACCCTGTCACTTGTCAGGGTGTGGATCATGAGGAAATAATCAATAGCCTATTAAACTTGAAAGGAATCAAATGGTGCGACAACCACTGTGCACAGGTGAAGACTACACCTTAAAGTCAAATGGTTGGATTAGTCTCTCATTAGCATAACAGCAATTGAGATAGCTGCTACTGTGTGTGTGGGAGAGGAACGGAGCTAGAGATGGCAGGAGCAATCGTGAGTGCTTCAGTTGGGGTGCTGAATCCCCTTCTAACCAAGCTTTCCTCCTTGATCGAGGGAGAGTACAAGCTGCTCAAAAGTGTGAAGAAGGATATCATCTTTTTGAGGAATGAGCTCAGCAGCATCAGTGTCTTGCTTGAGCATCTATCGAACAAGGAGGACAAGCTTGATGGGCCGACCATGGAGTGGAGGAACAACATGCTCGAGCTAGCTTATGATATTGAGGATTGCATCGACCTCTTCATCCACAAGTTGAGTTGTGGCGATGCCAATGCCAACTTTGTTCGCAAGATAGGAAGCAAGATAAAGAAGCTATGGGGAAAACACCAGATCACAGAGTGTATCCAAGAACTGAAGAATCGGGTTATGGAGGAGGACCAACGTCGCAAGCGGTATCAGATCGATGATTTCATCTCCGAGCCAAGTATGGTGGAAATTGATCCCCGTCTGCTGGCATTGTATGAGGAGGTGGAGAGGCTCGTAGGGATTGATGGTCCAAGGGAGAAGATCGTTAAGTGGATCATGCACAAAGATTGGTCATCAGAACAACGCAAAGTGGTTTCGATTGTTGGTTGGGTGGTCTTGGAAAGACAACTCTAGCTAATGAATTGTACAAGACAATACAAGGGGATTTTAAGTGTATAACTTTTGTGTCTATTTCACGTACCCCTAATATAAGGAAGGTCTTGGTTGATATGCTTAAAGGACTTGGGAGCAATGGAGATGTATCTGAAGATGAGCAGAACCTCATCAGTCATCTTCGAGGATTCCTGAAAGATAAAAGTTACACAAATTTTTATGTTTTCTAATTTTTGTGGAACATAACAGCGAATAGAGATTTCAAACATAGTTTTTTTTCTCTTCAAATACAGAAATAGGTCTAATATATTACAAATAAAATCACGATCTAGCACAACCACTAGCTTCGGTTGATGAGTCGATCCTCATCCCATGCGCGGATACATTTTCATTTCCTCCCCCACACGTGAATCGTGAATCTTAACGCCTATCTGACAGCACAAATTAAATTTGGAGAGCTTTTTTACTGTCCTTGAGGCTATGCAGTACCAAATCATGACCGTTGATCTGGCTTCATCTAATGGACAGGATTCGTCGGTACCTCATGGTACCGCTCCTTCTGTTTGACGCGGTACCGTGGGTGGGAGGGTAACTTTGTAATTTCGCGTGCGTCATCTGTTATCGTGTGAGGGGGAAAGCTTAACCCTAAATCGGCGAGGGAACCGTACAGCGGTGTTGAACGGCAAGGCGGATTGGTCGAGTTGAACGGCGGAAGGCCGGCTATCGGAGTTTCATCGGCGACGGCAAGCAAGGCGGCCTTGGGGCGACAGCGGGCGAGGCGGCCTTGGGGCGACGGCGGGCGCGGCGGCCTTGATGCGACGACGGGCGCGGCGGCCTTGCTGTGACGACGGGCACGGCGGCCTTGGTGCGAGGCAGCCTCGATGCGACGGCGGGGCATTGGCAGGATGCCATTCGCCGGAGAACTCGGCGATGGTTGTAGCGGCCATTCGTCGTGAGGTCGGCGATGTTTGCGGCAGCGATTCGGACTTGGTGGGGATTTTGGACTATTTGCCATCCTCTTGAATGGCGTATTCCCAAATGCCATCTTCCCAAATGACTTTGACGATTTACCATTCGGTCTACTGTTTTGTTTCTAATTTGCCACTTTTCACCACCAACTCAGCAAATTGAGTAGAAAATGAGTTGATTGCCCCTCATATCTATCCACTTCCTTCTTTCTTCTTCCTTCCATACGCAACACCGGCGTGTTCAGCTGACTGGCCTTCTCGTGGCATCCTGTGCATTGCCAATTCCCTCATTCCAAGGCATTCAACCTCGCCAACATCCCGCTCATTACCTCCGAGTACAACATGACATGCGTGTCAGAAAGGTTCACCGATGAATGGAGCTGCCACGGCCATCAGAAGGACAACGACGCCGACGTCAGCGTAGGAAAGCTGTCCCGTAGACGTCCTATTCATGTGCTACCTTGGGGAGATCATGCTCACCGGCTTCAATTACTGACCTGTTCAGTTAATGCACCACCAGCCATCAAGTTTGTCGAGTCGCTTCATAGCCGACATTATTTCTTTGGCTCGACTCGTGGTGGACAGGGATGCGCATCCGGTTGGCACTAATGGCAGCTGTGTTCCAGAAGTTTCTCTGGGTGTCTATCCATGTGCGCGGGTGCCACTCCACTGGCGAGATCGATCATCGGCACAGGACGGGTGGTGTCAGGCTCGATTTTGTGTGATGTATGGGCTGTTGAACCTCTTGTAGGGTAGCAGCAGCATGAGCGATGCCACCGCCGCAGAAGACGCCGAAGACTGCTCCGCCACATCACTAATGCCTGAGAGCAAGAAGGAAGAAGGGAAAGGAGAAATGGGAGGGGTAGTGAGGTCATTTTCTACTCAATTTGCTGAGTTTGAGGTGAATAGTGGTAAAATAGAAACAAATCAGTGGACCCGGATGGCAAATCATCAAAGTTATTTGGGAAGATGGCATTTGGGAATACGCCATTCAGGAGGATGGCAAATAGTCCAAAATCCCGACTTGGTGTGGCAGAACATGCAGAGAGAGGATGGAGACCGATCGAAAAGGTTTGTGTTATTCGTTGCAATTTGTGGTTTTTATTCAATGTTTGGGCAGTATATTTTGGATGGGTGATGATGGATTGAAATTAGGGAAACAAAAATCTTACAGTTGGATTGAAATTAGGGAAACAGAAATCATACAGAATAGCTTGAAAGACATATTTTGAAAGAAAAATTTCAATACATTTTGATCCAGATACATTGTTTTAACACACAAGATGCAGTACCAACTTGCCTGCATTGCAGCAAGCAATTTGCCTAAGATTTCACTGTATGTGTATGAGATACATAAGACTAATCTGAAAAAGGGAAAAATGGTGTGTTTGACCTTTTAATTCCACCGCTTTTGCATTTCTTCAGCCGTACTTGTCCTGAGTGTAACTGTCATGTATTTATTTTTCAGGCCTTCTCCATACCATTTAGCGAGCAGTACATAAACGAACACCTTCCAATTGAAGATTTGCTTGTGACTGTGGTCGGATCAACTGTTTCCTACCCGATGAGACTAATGAAATCGAAAGATAAGCAAGCAACCTTCACAACTGGATGGAATAAGTTGGTTGGAGACAAATTATTCGAGCTATGTGATGTTTGTGTCTTCATGTTCAGTGAGAACGATGCTGAGCTTACTCTTAGCCTTGAGCTCCTCAACAACTGTGAAGGATGAACAACATCTATGTGCCCCCTCCCCCCTAATGTGGTATTAGGCGAAATCTAGTATTAAGTTGTTTCCTGCCATATGTAGTATTATGCTGTTTGTTCTAGCTGCACCATATGTAATGGATGCTATGCACTTTGCCTAGGTTATCAGTTAAGACTTATCAGTCCATTATAGTGCACCATGTGTAATGTATGCTATGTTAATCCGATGTAAAATATCTATCAGTCAATTCTAGTGCACTGGATTGCAAAACTGATGCCCCTGTATGTGTGTCTATTACTATGCGCCACCTGTTTGTGTGCATTTTGTGATGGACCTGAGAATTTTGCAAAGATGATCACAACAATGGAATGTTATGCTCACTTCAGACAGTCATTATGGACTGCATAACTTTTACATGCTCAAACAGATCCTTTTACATACCGAAAAGCAAAGTTAGTGATGACAGGCATGTTCAGTTGCATAACTAATACAGAGGTACTTGATGATCTGTGTTTGCAATTTAACAGAGCTACTTGCGTGCGCACTGTAATAATTCCTACTCACACCACATCATCACAGTAAATGAAAGAACAAAATCATCAAAGTCATCAAGGTATTACTCTTACAGGAATCATCAAGGTCATCAAGGTACTTGCTGATATGTGTTTGCAAACAAACAGAGCTACTTGCGTGCGCACTGTAATAATTTCTGCTCACACCACATCATCACAGTAAATGAAAGAACAAAATCATCAAGGTCATCAAGGTACTCCTCTTATAGGAATCATCAAGGTCATCAAGGCACTCTTACAGGAAAAACAAGGTTTCCAAAGAGGTTATCTAAGCATCTCCTTACAGGAACCAAATCAAACCAACGAGGTTATAAAACCATCTCATTACAGGAACAGCAATACTCAATATTAATAGCATGGTCAGCATCTCCACCTTTAATATGTTTCTTCTTCAGCTTCACAAAAAAATTGTACATGTCCCTGGAAGTAAAACCAGTAGCCTCATAACCACCATGGTCTCTCTCCATTATATCCATCACTTGATGCTGATGCAAACCAACATCTCTCAATTCCACCATCTTAGCCTGTGCTGCAGGAGTTATTCTACGATGTGAGCGCAAAAATGGCACTTGATCAGCTTTACACAACGGATGGTTATGATTCGATTCAAACCTAACGACATACCAATTTCCTTTTTCCTCATCATGTTTTATCTCAAATTGAGCTTTGCAACCACAGCGAGATAATGCCCGTGGCTCCCTAGTTCTGTTAGAACTGTCCATATATACCTCCTTCCTAAATCCTCTCTCTCTAGCATACTGATTGTAGAATTGAAAACCATGATACTCACTAGGAAATTTCATGCCCATAATAGTAGAGCATACTCTTCCTCCTCAATACTGCTACCAACTGCTTCCATTTTACACGGCGCAATGAACCTGCCCAAAAAAAGGACCACCTTGATTACTTCAAGCATTGCTGTCAATCATAAAAACTAGAGCTTCCTAATCTACCACACATTATCAGATGCAGCACAAATCAAATTACCTGCGGCTGGTCCTCAAAATTAGTACTGTCAGCGGTATATGGGGCTGCGGATGCGGCACTGTGCGACTGGATGCGGCTGCAGGCGGCGGCCTGTATGCGACGGGAGGCGCGGCCGGCTCGATGCGACAGCGGACGCCGCCGGCTCGGGACGGCGGCAGGCACAGCGCCCTCGATGAGACGAGGGCCGCGGCTGTCTCGATGAGGCTGGATGCGGCAGCGCCCACGGCGGGGCGGCGGGCTGGATGTGGCGGCGCCCGCGGTGGCCTCGATGCCACGGTGGCCACGGCGGCCTTGTTGCGGCGGCAGCCGCGCCGGGGTCGATGCGATGGCGCCGTGGCGGGAAAACAGGCTCGATGCGGCGGCGCCGGGGAAGCTTCGATGCGCCGAAGAAGTGGGCGGCACAGACGAACTCCCTATTGGCCGAGTGGGCGGTCATTAGCACGGGCACCTCATTTTCATTAGACGATCCTACCCCTGTTAAACCAACGGTTAGATAAGATTGATACCTCATGGTACCTCGTACCTCATGTTATCTTCTTACGGCTTGTTTGGTAACTCGAGGGAAGGGGATTGGGAGTTTACACGAGAAAATTGATGATGAGATTAAGATGAGAATTTGATTTTTAATCCTAATATCTTGTTTGGTAGCGGTGATGGAAATTTAAAGAGAGTTTAGTTGGAGATTAGGTCATTAATAAAAATGGATGGCTGAGATTTGCTTAGAAAAAGTAAAGGAGGAATTCCCTCCCAATTACCTGTCCCTACCCAGGTATTGAAAAGAAAGGAGTTTCTTTCTCAATTCTCCATCCCCATCCCACCAAAATTGTCATGTCTCCCAACAAAATAAAACACTTAATAGCCTCATCCCTCTAAATTCCCAATCCATCCTAAAAACTCTCCCCAACCAAACAGGCCTTTAAGGATGGAAAAGATGCTCAAATTTGGAAGTTTCCAACTTCAATTTTCTGTCGCAAGATATATAGCAAATCCGAAACGTACAGACAGATATGGTTGTATCTAGAACTAGAACAAACCCAATAAAACACTTTGCACTCTTAATTGTAATATTCTAGCTACATGAGTGGTAACTAGCTTTTATGTATGATCATTCATCCACATTGATGCGAAAGTATGATGACCGGATCATAAATTTAATTGTACTCACGTACCTCATTGTTGTTGATGATATTTGGGACATAGGTGCGTGGAAGGTGGTCAGTTGTGCTTTCCCAGAGAATAATTTGGGCAGTATAATCATAACAACAACAAGAAACGCTGCCGTAGCTAAAGCGTGTAGCCGTACCACATCTGAAGGCTATCTTCACAGCATGCAGCCACTAGCAGAGCAAGAATCACAGAGATTATTTTACCGGAGAGCTTTTAATTCTGAGAATTGCTGCCCGCCTCACCTGGAAGACATCTCTCATGCCATCATATCGAAATGTCGTGGTTTACCATTAGCTATAATCTCCATAGCTAGCTTGCTAGCAACCAAATCCGATTCAGAGGACCAGTGGGTGCAAGTGCATGATACTATTGGTGCTTCACTAAACTCAGAGGCTCGAGTGAGGAAAATATTAATGCTCAGTTATTATGATCTTCCTTATCCCCCGAAAAAATATCCGTTGTATCTAAGCATGTATCCAGTGGATTGGCTGTAGCTCTTTGAGTAAAGGCCGGGATTATATTCCATTATCTAAAAAAAAATGTATCCAGAGGATTATTAAATTGATAGACAAGACCTTATATGGAGATGGATAGCTGAAGGATTCATCGTTGAAGTGAAGAATCAAACACAGGAGCAAGTAGGAGAGAACTACTTTAATGAGCTTATAAATAGAAGCTTGATCCAACCAGTTAGTATCCAGTATGATGGCAGCGCCAAGTATTGCCGAGTTCATGATATTGTGCTTGATCTTATCATAAGCCTATCGACTGGACAAAATTTCGTCGCAATAGTGGATGAACAACAGCATTGGAGTTCTTTCAAGAAGATTCGGAGGACCTGGTTCCCATCCAATGGCACAGATAATAGAATAGTCAAGAAGATTACGAACAACTGTTCACAAGTTCGTTCGCTGCTCTTCTTTGAGAATCCTAAACCGAAACAAATACCACAATTTAAGAAATGCCATGCTCTGCGGGTATTGGATCTGTATCGGTGTAGGAACCTGGATAGCTAGCATATTAACAGCCTAACATACCTTTTGCAGTTGAAGTATCTGAAGGTTTTTGGTGTAAATGTTACCGAGCTGCCCAAGGATATTGGACGGCTGCAGCAACTAGAAACACTAACTATTCATGCAGGAGATGTCGACGAAATAAACATTCCGTCAAGTGTTTGTAGACTGCAAAAACTACAGCGCCTAAATTTTAATTACCCAATGAGATTGCCAGATGAAATTGGAGTTTTGCAAGCTTTGGAGGTGCTATATCTTAATAGCATTCGGTACAGCATAAAATGTTTACAAGAGCTCTCTGTTGGCTAACCAGATTAAGGCAGCTGCGCATACTTTGTCCTGGAATTTATGATTTTGGAGGTGATGTAGCAAGGTTCCAGAGGTACAAGGAAGCCTTTTACTTCACTCTCAATGAGTTGGGTAAAAATAGCCTTCGATCATTACATGTTACTTGTTCTCCTGAGTTTTCAGATACATTGATGGATTCATGTTGCAGTAGTGCTCCAGATCTCAAAGAGCTTTTTATTGATGGCAATGGAATATCTAAATTTTCGGATCGGATGGTCTCCCTTTGTAATCTTGCCTCTCTTCGTCTCTGGAATATTACAAGCATTGATCAGAAAGTGGTCGTCCTCCTTGGGCATACCCAAGCTTCTCTATCTTGAAGTATTCTTGTCCCGAGGCCTGGGGGATGGACTCACTGTAGGCTGTAGTGGATTTCCATGTCTAAAGGAGTTTATTTTCGACAACAGTCGCCTGCATTGGTTGTTGTTTGAACCTGGAGCTATGCCCAAAACTCCAGAGGCTTTGTTTTAGTTTGTATGCACGGGAAGCAGCATCAAACCTTGGGCTCGAGCAAAGCTATGTGCACCTTTCCAGCCTCCAGCATCTCACCTTCTATCTTTGCTGTACCAATGCCACTATAACGGACGTGAAAGCAGTGGAAGCTACCATCAGGAACGTGATCAGCATCCACACCCGCCGTCCCACTCTCGTATTGCGGAGATACTTGCAAGATCGAATGGTAAAGGAAGATGAAGAGGAGCAGCTAAAAGACAGTACAGATGGATGTGGAGTTGAAGAGCACCATATTCAGTAGCCACTGATCACAGTTGGAAATCAGAAGCGCTGGAACCCAGGTATTGGTTCATCCTCTCGTATAAGACCATCAATCTGCTGGGCTTTACATGTATGCTTGTTTGTTGCATTTTGATCATAGCAACTGACCTACGATCGCCCTTAATTTTGCAGTGTTCTTCAGGAATTCAGACAAAGTGCAAGCTAGCTAAACATTTATTATGTGGTCCTGTTGAGTTAATCCTAGCTAGCGCCGCACCCATTCTCCTATGTGTTTCTTCGTGGCACTTGATGTCTGTGTGTATGGGGATCGTGTGTGCTTGTACGGTAGGCTCTAACGCTTGTTCATGTGGGAGCGCGTCGGAGTTAGTATGCGTCGTGTGGACATGTGCTTTCAGCTGTGGGATGGCGTGGCTCAGTCGGAAAGCAAATCCTGGAGGGCGCAAGAAGAGGAGAGCGCTCGATGTGGGATGGCACGATCTAGTAAGAGGCTCCCAAACCTTTATTGCATATTTCCTATTTGAGTTGATAAATGACAGGGCCGCCCCTGAGGGGGCTAGCGGTGCGGCTGCACTGGGAAAACAAGAAATATTGTACAATCCTATAACTATTAAATCCTATGCAATTCAGTAGGTCCCGAAATTCTTATACAATTAAATCCTAGAACTCTACCATATCTTTCAATCTATCTATTATACACTAGAAGTCCATGAAACACCCTATAAACACTCCTAAGCTGTCACATGGCCTCCTACACACACTCCTAAACCACCACGTGACACTCTAATAATTTATAAACACCGGTCCTATCCACCTCCTTCCCCTTCCGCATACCAGCCTCCAAAATCTAACAAAATCCTAGATGCGCTCTGATCTCCTATTTTCATGCTACAGAATCGAATTCGGTTGTAAACTTTAGTAAAGCTACCAATTCCATATGTGCTTCTTTTACGAGGAAATCAAAGAATCCTTATTATTGCTGTCTTTGCCGAGATCACTGCCAGCGTAAACCGGAATGCCTTTGGAGCCTTGGACAGAGATTATCATGCATCGATCAAGCACTTGGTACTCATTAGGGTATCTGCACCCAGTACTATATCTGCATTACCATTGACACAGGTATATGGCGATGCTTCCTCATTAAGATATCTGAAGATATCTGCACATATAGAGCAAGCTTCACGATCGCATTGTTTTTTTTTCAAAAAATAATCAACATTAGTTTCTATGTTTTTAAGTTATTTCTAATCTAATATCATTGGACCCTGTAAATTTGAAGGGTTGAGAATACACAAATCTAAAAGTTCATTTAGACCAAGCCACCAAGGAAGATCGATATATGATCGTTGCATCTGCAGTACCGTAGGTATTTCTTATTTCCTTGCAATTAAGAAGATCTATATGTGGTCTCATCCACAAATCAAAAAATGTTTAAAGCAAGGAATTCTGTAGCAAGGCATCCGACGGACTTTGCATAATTAAAAAAAAGAGTAAAATACACCAGCGGTATTTAAACTTGTCATGAGGTTTCACTTAGGTCCACGAACTTGCAAAGTGCACATCAAGATCCCTAAACTTGGTTTATTGTATCATTCCGGACCAAAGCTGTGTTTGAATGTGGTTTTACCTATGTGGCACGCCATGTGGATAATGAAATGGATTTTTTTAATTTTTTTATATATTCTCCATTCTTTTTTATTTTTCTTCCTTCTTTTTTATGGGTGGTGAGAGGTGGCATGAGGGGAGGGGTTGTCGCAGTGGTGTAAAAAGAAGGAAGAAGGGAGAAAAAAATAAAAAAAATCCATGTCATCGATCACATGACGTGCCACGTAGGCAAGACCACGGTCAAACGCGTCTTTGGACCGGGATGATACAATAAACCAAGTTTAAGGATCTCGATGTGCGCTTTGTAAGTTCGTGGACCTAAATAAAACCTCCCGACAAGTTTAAGGACCGCTGGTGTATTTTACTCTAAAAAAAAGAGAGAGAAAAACTTCAACCTAGCTTTTGAGTTAACAGTGTAAGAGTGGCTTATGAATATTAAGAAAAGCAATGGAAAAAGACACATGTTTGAGACTTTTTAGCTTATAAGTCCAAAACGTACTTAAGTATGTTAGTACTTATTAATTTAAATTTTCTTAATTAATTAAGGTAATTAAAAAATTGAGATACATAAGTATGGATCATGGTGCTTATTAATTGCTAATTTTGAACTTTTTAAATTAATGAAATAGAAAATATCAGTTCAAGACATTAATAAAATAAAACTACAGCAACCGAAGACAATTAGGACAGGACATGTATTTTTTATTTTTTTTCAATTAGGAGTAAAAAAATATTATTACTTCCTTAGACTTACAAAGAAAAATTTATGTTTTACTTTCAACAAATTTTAACAAACATGTATTTTACATATAACTAATATTTTTTAATATTAATAATTGTAGCACATGCAATGCACAGGTTGACGCTTCTAAGGCATGTGATGCTATAAATACTCCCAGGTCACCAGTAACACTCTATAATAAATTATAGAAAATTTTAATTAGATAATATATATTTAAAAGGTAATCTGTTCCTCCCAATCTACGGGGTATACAATGGAAAATTTGTAAATGTTCACCAAAAAAGCCAAAAGTACACAAGTAAACTATTGGGAAAAAATATACAGCTTATTACTGTTCACCAAAAAAAGGAAAAAAACATATTGATGATAAAAAGATAAATCCCAAAAAACTTACGCATGTAAGTACTACAATGAAAAAATCAACGATCTGAAAATAGGATTTTCTATAATTTTGAGATAAATATATATTACTCCAAAACACACAATTCAACTAGAGGACCTTGTCCATCTTTTTTTAATTCATCTAATTGCCGTATTCCTTCAATTAAATGAATTATTAACGACTAATAATAATTATATTGTAATGCTAAATACATGACAACATATGGAACCAACATATAATAATTAATGATATGATAATTTTTCAAATAATTGTATAACATATTTTGTGATGTCAAATATCACCTGACAAATATACAATACTACTTTAAATCTACTTGTCTAAAAAATAAAACAATAGAATTTAGTTGTGTTTTTCCAAGTAAATTTGATTTAATTTTAGTTTGTGTGGGATTAAGATTCTCTACATTTTCAAAACTATTTGGTATTTCCAGCTAATGATCCTGCTATAATATTACCCCTTAATCTATCACGAGTATATTGGTCAATAGGTATGTTTTTTCTATACCAAATAGTTTTGGCAACAAATTAACTACTCATGATATACTTTTCTTAGAGTTGAAGATGTTAGGCATAATTGTTGATGTATGTCATGTACCTCACTAATGTGATTATAAGTGTACTTGAACAAATTAGTTATTGCACATATTTTCTAAAGAAAATAAATCTACCTTCTTTTCAAATGATGAAGAAGATTATAAATAATTGCTTATAGATATTACTTAGATATGATATAATATAAAGCTAATAGGTTAATGATTATAAAAGCAAGTAATGCCAAAAAAACAATTTCTGAAGAAATCGAGGTATATATTCTCCGGTTAATATTTCGCTTTTAGTGTCTCAAATTTAGCATACGACGCATGCTCGCGCATTCGCGCGGGCTACCTTCCTAGTTATTATATACTTAAAAGTCCACTGAACTTCCTACAAACGCTCTTAAGCCGACATGTGTCCTCCTACGAACGCTCCTATGCCGCCACATGGCATTCTAATAAATAAAAAAATTCATTAAATCCGGTGGACCCATTATTTAAAACTATTAGATCTATCTTTGAGAAAAATCCACCGCTAAAACTGGGCCCCACTAAGTACCTGTACGTGGATGGATGTATATATGTAATGTACGTGTTATGAAACAACAGGGTGATCTCATCCATATAAAAGGATGGATCGCAACCGAAGGCAACCGTGCCTCTTCCCTAGGCGCTTCTTGGCAACAGATGCAATGGTTCCCAACCATCGTGTCTCCGGTTGCCACCCCTTCTCCATCTATAAATTGTACCGCATTGATCAATAAAGAAATCTGCTCATTCATTCCCTCTACATTCTTGTGTTCAATTCTCTCTCTCGCTCAATCAATTCTATTCACAATACGTTATCAGCACTTTCGCTCTCGCGAAGGAGTTCGCGAAGTTTAAGAAGGAAGAACATCACTTTTTGATCTACAGGAAAAGCGAATAGAAAAACAACGGAAGGTACGATGCCTACCTTTCATTGGATCATGGATGCCGTTCTCGGCCTCCCTCGCCATCAGCGCGCACGCCAGCTTCGCTATCTTCTTCGTCGATCGATGAGGAGGACGCGTTGGGGATCCCGCGGAGGCAGGGCTAGGGTTGTGGCCGCCGCCACTACCCTCGCCGCCGTGTGACTGCAACTCCAGTTGTGGTTCCCCCGCCTGTCCTTGTCGCACCTCCTCCTCCGCCTCCGGTTGCCGAAGCACCTCGCCGGATCCTTGTGCAGGGGGTACAGTACTGTGCCCACCATGGATGGACGGCGGTGGTGACACTGCCTGGCAAGCCGTGTGATCTCTCACTGGAGATGGAGTCGCTGCCGGCCCCGTTCGTCGCCGCTCCATCACCACCAACCGCTCCTTCCTCACCTCTATCAACGTCGCAGCCGACGCCAAGCTTTCGACGCTCCCCCACTCCCGTGCCACCAGGATTTGGTCGTACCGGAACCATGGCGGCGCGCACGGGGGAGCCGCCTCTCTTTACACCGTCTCCAACTCGTGGCCACGTCGGAGCCGCCGCTGCACGCCGTCCCGGCCTCCGCCATACATTCATTGCCGTTCCCCATGGCTCCCCGAGCCGCATGGTACCCAATGGCATGGGGGGGGAACGGTGTTAGGGTCTGGCCGGTCTCCAACTCCGATGAGGAGTCGGGACCGTCGGCCTAAAGCCGGCCGGCATGCCGCCGGCCGACGAGAGGGACGCGGCGGCGGCGGATAGTGGACGGTGGCGGTGGGAGGTGGCGGTGGAAGCAAGGCGGCAGCGGAAATGGAGGGGGTAGCGGCGGCGCTATCACTGAAGGTGGAGACGGCGGTGGAATCGGCGGCGGTGGCGTCGGCAGCGCCCCCGCGGCGGCGTCGGCGGCGCCCCCCAGCGGTGGAATAGGCGGCGCACCTCAACGGCGTCAACGGCGCACCTCGGCGGCGTCGGTGGTGCCTCACGGCGGCGTCGATAGCGGCGAACTGGCGGCGGTCAGCGACGAAATGACGGCGGTGGGCGGCGGCGTGTGCAGCGAAAAGGGCGGCGGCGGCGGCGGTGAAATTGTGGGGGCAGTTAGGGTTAACCCTAACACCCCCCTCCCCGACGCCCCACCCCATGCCCCTCTGCTGCGGGCCGGATGGGCCGGCCCACCGCCCCCTGCCTGCCGGCCTAGTGCCACACGGTGGTGGGCCGACTCCTTTAGATTTCGGCCCACCACCCAATTTACCATTTAATTTTTAGTTTTTCATTTACTTTCAGCAGTAATTACATTTTAGTCCCTATGTTTTATGTAATTTAGTGGAAACAGTTCATCAGTTCTTCACATTATTATGTAATGGCCCTATAGACCACTTATGTTATGTGTTAATTAACATAGGTGTTTATTCAAATACCCTGTTTCACTAAATTTTTTTGTTGTCTTAATAACATGCCTTTTGCATATTATTTCAAGACACGCTCTACTTTCTCGCTTTATTAATTTACAAAATTCTATAAATTTTGTATTTTGATTTAGCAAATTCTCTTAATTATGTACAACATAATTAATGGAGGATTTAATGCATGTTCCACTTCACACTTTGACTCGGAAATTAATCACATGTCAATGGAGCCCTATACTTTGGTCATATCGACCATAACTTAGGCAGCGAGTATCTTGCCCATCATCAAGTGGTCTACATTTTGAGATGTTTACCCGATGGAGTCCTACAAATTGGCCGCACTAGTCATAACCTAGGCAGCGAGCACCTCGCCCATCTCACAGAGGTCTACATCTCACGATGATTACCCACATGTGTTATTTTCCGAGAATATGTTTTGAAAAATGAGATTATTTGAATTTTGGTTGAGCACAAGGTAGTGGAGTCCTATTCACCAGAATATATTTGCCTGGAGACCGTGTTTTAGGTAGCAAGTATAACTTGCCCACTATTAAGAGATCTACTCCACTGTTTAATTACTTGGAGATTATCCACATTGTGCCACCTAATTTCGAATTCTAACTTGAATTGTCAAGTTTATTACCGGCATCTTTTCGAAACATTACAAAATATGAAGTCTTACATTTCGCATTGAGATTACAACCTTAATATCATGTTTTTATTAATTTACCTCTGTAAATTGATAATGTTAACCATGATTGTAGGGACATGGCAACAAAAGAGTTCAACGAACTCGTCCTCGATGGGACTAACTATTCCATCTGGGCTTCCGATATCAAAATCAATTTTGCCTCTCGAGGGATTTTAAGTACAATTGAGGAACCTAATGATGGGGACCTGCCAATTGAGCACAGGAAGCTCAATACAGCCCTTTTTGTTTTGAGGCTCTACATTCACAAGGATCTCAAACATGAATACATGTTAGAGACGAGCCCTCACACCCTTTGGAAAGCTCTAAAAGAGCGTTATGATCAGCAAAAGGAACTCATTTGGCCTGAGGCTAATTATGAGTGGATTCATTTACGCCTACAGGACTTTAAAACTGTGGCAGAATACAACCATGCTGTTCATAACATTTGCTCCAGGTTGAAGTTTTGCGAACAAGAGCCAACAGAGGCAGAGAAGATAGAGAAAACTCTATCAACTATGCTTCCAGAGGACAAGATACTGACTCAACAGTATCGCGCTAACAATTTCCAAAAACATTCTCTGCTTATACATACATTGACTCAGGCAGAAAGACACCATGAGCTTTCTTTAAAGAATGCCCAACAGCACCCCCCGGGCTCTGCTCCACTGCCTGAAGTGCACTTCAATGTACAGAATAATGCTGAGAATAAGAAAGGATTCAAGGGAAATTCTTCCAATAATCCTAAGAATCTGACTGGAAAGCGCAAACGCAACAACAACAGGCGCAAATTCAAGGGTCGAAAGAAAGGAAAAGGGAAGGATAAGGCACCACAACCTCGTAGCAATGTTAACAAGCATTGCAACAGGTGTGGATCTGACACTCATGTCGCTAAAGACTGCCGCATCCCGAAATATCTTGTTCTATTGTACCAAAAATCCCTTAAGGACAAAAAAATCTTCTGAGAACCCAAGATTTGAAGCCCACTTCAATCTTACACATGAAGAGTGCCCTGAGGTTGCAAGTTCTCACTAGGCTCCTGTTGAACCGGAGAGCAACCTCAATGTTCTCCCAGAAGATGTCGCTCCACTCTCTGCGATGGACGATATGTTCATCGAATACTGCTCAACAGACCCACTTAGAGATTTACTGTAATCTCAGTGCGTCCCACTTAGAGATAAAGCTGCTTTAATCTCAGTGTGTTTGAGACATTATATTGATATCCTATAGTTTGTCAAAACAATATTGGTTGTAATAAGTAGATAAGTACTAACTTCCTTATATTATAAGGTTATAAGACTTGCTAGTCATTAGAGTATGTACTATTAACCTATGTAAACGTCATACTATGTATTTGATGTTTTCATTATTATATGTATGTATATATTGTGGATAAAGAATTCTTCACTAAGCAATTCTTCTTTCACTATAGATGTCTAAGGATATCACTCCGATTGGAGAGGAATTATGTCTTGTGGACAGTGGTACCACAAACTCTATACTTAGGGAGATCAAATAGTTTCAAACTCTCAAAAAGAGAGAAAGCAAAGTTTTGACTATCGCTGGGTGCGATACTGTAATAGTTGGCTCGGGACAAGCAACTATTACACTCCCAATGGGTACACAAATTACAATCGAGGATGCTTTATTGTATCCTGATTCAACCCGTACCCTACTAAGTTATAGAGATATCCGTCAAAATGGGTTTAACATAGAAACCCATATGGATAATCGAGAAGAATTACTTCTCTTAACCAATCAAAACGGATATGGCAAACGCATTTGCGAGAAAATTCCATCTCTCACATCGGGATTGTACTATACATACATTAAGCCCATTGCACATGTTGCGTACAAAGTAATTTTTCAAAATGTTGATGCATTCCACATTTGGCATGATCGACTTGGGAACCTCGATATCGGGATGATGAGAAAAATTATTGGCAACTTTATTGGTCATCATTTGATCACTGATAAATTTCTCAAATCCTCTGATTTCGTATGCACTGCATGTGCTACTGGGAAACTGATTTTGAGACCATCTTATCTCAAAATTAGAGCCGAACCACTTAAATTCCTTGAACGCATTCAAGGAGATATCTGTGGCCCTATTGTGCCAAGATCTGGACCGTTCAGGTACTTTATGGTTTTGATTGACGCATCTACTAGATGGTCTCATATGTGTCTTCTATCGACACGAAACCATGCCTTTGCCAAACTAATGTCTCAAATTATAAGGCTGAAAGCAAATTACCTTGAACATAGGATTCAATCAATCCGTATGGACAACGCTGCCGAATTTACATCTCATGCTTTCAATGATTATTGTATGGCATTGGGAATTCAGGTTCAGCACTCTGTTCCATATGTCCACACACAAAATGGTTTTGCTGAATCATTGATCAAAAGAATTAAGCTTATTGCCCGACCATTATTGATGAATTGCAAATTACCTTCGTCGTGTTGGGGTTATGCGGTTCTGCACGCTGCTGACCATGTCCAACTACGACTAACTGCATATCATGAAACTTCCCCAATGCAGTTAGTACGTGGAAATCCTCCAAGTACTTCCCATTTGCGTAAGTTCGGATGTGCTGTATACATACCGATCTCACCACCACAGCGTACTGCTATGGGCCCACACAGGAAAGTGGGGATCTATGTGGGATTCAAATCTCCGTCGATCATAAAGTATTTAGAACCCTTAACAGGTGATCTATTTACTGCCCGGTTCGTTGACTCTATCTTTGATGAGGAACATTTCCCGGCATTAGGGGGAGACTTCAAGTACCAGAAAGAATGTCAGGAAATTGATTGGGATGCCCAGGGTATTCTAGCCCCAGACCCACGTACTACTGAAATTGAACTTCAAGTTCAGAAAATTATACATTTGCAAAGGCATGCAAATAACCTGCCAAATGCATTTACCAATTATAAAGGTGTGACTAAATCTTTCATTCCCGCTCAAATAAAACCACTCAACTTCCACTCACTAAAAAGAGAGGAAGAAGTATGGCCACTCAGCGAGAAACAATTGCTAATAAGCAAAGAAAGACGGTAAATGCAAACCAACCTTTAGTTGGTACACACCAAATTGATACTGTATATCAAGCAGATCGTGATAGTCTGCAACCTAGCTCGGTGGTTGTTGACGGTCGTTATCGATCAATTTCAACCGTCAAAATTACCAAAATAGAGGAGAACTAGTGATGCTTGCAATGCGTATGTTTGTTAGAATAATAATATTCTACTAGTATTAGGTCTACTAACCTTTTGCTGAGAATGACAATAAAGTGGAGGAAAATCGACATCAACACAAACGATAAATCAATCGGACGATGTCGAGAACCAGACTTATGTATGAATGGGCCAAGAACTCAGAATTGACACGATGAATTGGGCCAAAATTCACAAGTCTGTGGAGTGAAGCAATAGAGGAAGTCGCCAGCCGAAGATGGGCTGGTTTGGGCTAGCCCATGGTTCGGCCGAACCCCCATCTCCACCGTTGAGGCCAGGGTTTGGCATGGACGTCCAAGATTACACCCCAATGACGGTTGGAGGGTACTTCGGACAATTCCCCTTCCACAACCGTCATACCTACCTCTATATAAGGAGCTCACTCTCTTCACTTTAACACACACCTCAAGCAAGAGCTCTCTCATTCCTCTCAAGTTTAGTTTAGTAGTATCTAGCTAGTGGAATAGAATTAGAATAGGAATCAGGAGTCCGGAAGCCTTCGGAAGAGTTTGGGTATGGCTCTAGTAGCTTTTCTTTCCTCTTTTGTAAGCTTTATACTTTTATTAGAATACTTTTCTAAATACATTTCTGGTATTGAAATACTTTCCGAGTATATGAGTACCAACTTTACATTATGTTCATGTTATACTGAATATACTGCTAGCTTATCTGGGAGATGCTTTGGTTCGGGTATAGTGTTTGCTTATGCAATTACTCTATGTCATGACGATGATATTAGAGTAGTATCTGGTAGTTTAGACGTGGTGTCTAGATTACAGGATATCATTATTTGGGGTTATATATTGCGGATGAGAGGTGGGTCGCTGATGGTGACAGCTCAATACGGGTATTCCTCCGCGCCTATATATAATTCTAAGTTAATTTCCTGGGGAGGGTATTCCTCCGTATTTAGCCCCGGTTGGATGGTCATGACGGGCTATCATAAGGAACTCGGCAGTCAGGGGTGGCTTCTCGAAGTACCAGGAGGGCATCGGATAGAGGGTATTAGCTAGTATATCAGTTAACTAGAATGTATGTATATATGTATA